TTGCGTGGTTTTTTTTTGAGTTGCAAAATCCACTTGAACATGACGCTGCTTTTTTCGAAGTTTCTCAAGAACCATTCGAGCCAGATAATTCGTTTGGCATCGCTGGATAGAGAATTGAATGGGGGGTCGTAACCCCCATGACCCCTCCCCCTGGATCCGCCCTTGAGTGGACAAAGATGTGCTCCCAACGTTTCGCCACCACGAGCTAACCACCTCTGAAATTGCACGCAACTCGCACTGCACAAACATCGGGAAAAAATACTTTTCTCCATCCTCATATCCCGAAATGTTGCAAATAATGAACGCAACAGCCTGATGTGATCGAAGCAACGTGCATTTACCATGATTGAATTTCCTGTCGCGGTTTTCTGTTTGATATAATTCAACCAAACTCATCAATAATACTGAGGTAAGCAGGTGAATTTCCGGATTACATTCTGTTAACATTTCCCCGGGCAAATGAAGGAATTACCATTTTAATAGGGCCGTTGAATTGAGGAAAAATCGGCAATTTTACCAGTGAGATAAATAATGAATTTTCAGGTGTTGCCAGCGACGGAATAGGATTTGGGCTGAAAGAGAGCCTGGTTTGGTACGTTTTGTTCATCGTTTTCGTGTCCTATGCAATGCTGCCTCTTCCGCTACGATGGTGCATAATGGCCGGATGCATTTCCGCCTTGAGTCATGTGATTTTGGTCTCAGTGCGGATTTTCTACTTTGGCAAGTACGAGGTAAGGTTGTTAACATTAGTGGCAATGTTGCGTTATTAAAGCGCAAATCGTTGTGGCAACTTTCCCCATTCCCAGTTCAAAGTCTTAGTTTTAATGCTCCCGCACAACATGCTTGAGCAGCATTTTCCGTCGCTCGCTTTGTTGCTTGGAAAAGGAAAGCGTTTGTTCTCATGAAAGCTCAAAGCTTCCAGCGGTTCAAATTAATTGGATATTCTGACTATACTTCTCAGTATACAAACGTGGTTCTATAACATAAATCGGCCTAGAGGAATTATACAACCATTGCAAAAAAAACGATTTCAAAAATTTGCTATTGGCCTTGCAAAAGTAATAACAAGTTAAACGGTTGGAGAAGTTTATTTCCTCTGTGGGCCGCCAGCCGCTAATGGAAATTACCGGAAAGCTTCGAGAAAAACACACCAGGAGAAAATCAGCAATTTAACCAAAGAAACCGGTTTGGCAAATTGCATCGGCACGTGAACCCCGATGAAAGTACGCAAAAAAACTTAATTAATATTAAACAATCCTATTGATTCAATGACTTTTTGCTCAATTTCCCAAACGAACTTTCAGCAATTTTCCGCAGTAAGCCATACAGCTTTGCGTTCAACATTTAATTAAAATAATTGTTTCATCGATTCAAAATGCCATTTTGTTTAATTGACAGGCACACTTTGAATTTTACCGAAAATATGAATTTGTTAATTAATTTTAAACGAAGGTTATACAGGATGATACAGAGTAGCGACAAAATATACGGAATTTCATTTTTCCATGCTCTTAACTCTTGAAGATTCATTTTTATTTGCGCAAAGTTGCCAAAACTTCTCTGTTCTTTTGCAAAATAGCACAACGGCAACCACGGGGGGATATTTGGGGTTAGTTTATCCATTATGCTCTTCAAAACTTGAGATGTATAACAATGTCAAACATTTTTAGTCGACAGTTTTAGCTTAAAAATCATGCAATGCTTTTTATAGATTGTTGTATTTTGGTACTTTTTCCGCATTCATAGGGTTTCCATACAAAAAATAATTTCAACTGTGTTTTCCATTACAGATAAGTCGCTTAGTTTGTAGCGGCCGAAATTGCTGCGTCTTTTCCGCCAACTTTTCAAACGTTTAATTTCTGGGGAATTAATCTCGCCAAGCGTTCTTCTTCAGTCGTCGCAGTAATTCAGTTTCCATTAAATCTCACTAAAAACTAACGTAACAGCGACGAAATAAACTCACCTCTGCCGAATAATTACTTCCGCAGATTCGCTCCCAAATCCTGATTACGTCGCGACTTTCTTTGCCTTTGAACATACGCGGTTAACGTGAATTTTCAATTTAAACAATAAAATTGAGTTCTTTGGGAAAACAAGTCGAATACATGTAGCACAAGAAAAACATTATTTTATTAAGATTCTATTGCCGTTGAGGTGAAACACAATTTTATGGTTGGAAGTGGGAAGTCAATTTTTGCATTAAATTTACAAGTTCTGATGGAAAGATTCGTTTATTTCCGGTTTTCGTTCAATATTTCAGCTAAAGCTACAACAATGGGGCGATTCTGATGGGTATTCTTCTTAAAATCTGCCTTGTACATCTGTTCATTTATCAAAGTTTTCTTATTTAAATATCAGACCCTAAAATTGAAAATCCTGTTAGAGGATTAATCCGCAGTTGGGGCGCATCGAGCGGGAATAATTTTCAAAAGATTTCTCCAAAATATAAACCGACGGTTTAAGAAGTTGTTTGCTTGGATTCATTTGATCAGAAGACGTTTTTCCTGATGAATTGGTATGGTGATCGTTAAACTGGCCTGTGATAGTAATTTTAGCCACAATAGTTTAAAAAATATTTGAATAGCAGAGAAACACCCAGATAAAATAGGACTGTTGAAGAGCTACTAAAAGATGATAGGAAAAAAA